AAATCCCTTGGCGAGTAAAAAATGTGCTGTCGTAAATTTACAACTTAAATTATAATTCGAGTTTACAATTTTTTTGTAAATTTACGACGATATTTTTCACAGTGTGATGAGAACTTTGAAAACAGTTTGACAGAGCTTTTTATGCGGGTTTAGACAGTCTCCAAGACCGTCTATCATAAGGAAAAGTGTCGTCCCCCCTCCTCGCCTCTCTCTTGCACAGCAGGCGGCGCATGTGTCAACTCTAGGATGATTAATCTCTAACTACACTAACGCGATAAAACATCTCTTCACTACACACTGTTAAAAAAATTGTTTTGAATTAAAAACGAAGGTTCAGTTAAGTTTGTTAGCAACACATGTTGTTTTTTAACAACACAAACACAAGTTGTAAAAAAAATAACATTGATAAAAATCTCGGTAACAAAGTTCGCACTTATTCACCACACTTCCTTCGCCTCTCTCTATCTGGGGAAGTGTGTGCAACGTTGGTGCACTCTCGAATAGCGAGGGTGAGCTTTCTTTAACACTAGTATTGTCATTTTTGAAGGGCGTCATGGAGCTGTTGCTGCTGCCGGACGACGTGCTGCGGGAGGTGATGCTGGCCGTGATGCGGTACCTCGACGTGCCGGCCCTGCTGACGTGCCGCCTGGTGTGCAAGAGGATCGGGGAGCTGGCCCTGGACCCTCACGTCTGGCGGCACCGCCGTCTACGCGACCGAGGCAACAATCCTGCAGTGAGTCCGGTCCTGCGCCTGGCGCCCTGCCTGCACTCGATGCAGTTCCTCTTTGACATCGACTTCCCGGAGGCGCGTCTGCTCGGGCTGGTCACGACGAAGTGTGCTGCGAAAGCCTTAAGTCTGATTTTAGACCAATCCAGCACCGTCGCGCTCGCAACAGCTGTTATCCGCCACCAAATGGCACTCGGCCGGCTAAGAGATCTTGAAATACGGTTCCGTTGGACTTGGACTGATCCCGGCGATTGTGCCCTGGTGAGGGTGAGCAGGCTGATGAGCACGGTAGTCTTGGCGTCCGGCCTGGAGCGCTTGGCTGTGCACGGCATCCCGTCCTGTGAACCGACCACCGAGGACAGATTCGTTGGTCACAGCGGACACTGTATCACGCCCAAATCATCCCTCAGGTACTTCAGTTGCTTGGAATGTGATACCGTGGACTATATCAACTCAGTGCTGTCCTTGCAAGCTGCCACCCTGGAGGAGGTTGACGTAAGGAGTGTCATCGTGTTCAACTCTGGGTCGACGGCGCCCCTGCTGGCTGCGTTGCCAAATCTCCGCAAGCTGAGCTGCTCTCCGCTCCCTGGCCTGGAGGCCGTGACCGCCTGCGAGGGGTTGAAGGTGGTGTCAATCTTTGTGAAGATCCAAACGCTAGCTGACGCCCAGGGAGCAGCAGTTGCGGCGACTGCCCAGTTCCTCCGGCGCGCCCACCAGCTGCGGGAAGTCAGCTTGATTTTCCGCGTCGACGCCGGGAGCCCTGAGGACACGGACCGCGTCCACTCAGACCTCATCACGGCCCTGGTCACATCCGGACAATCGAACGTCGAAGTGCTGAGCATCAGAGCCGCATGCACGACGCTGACCTCGGAACTGCAGTTGTGCACCGCACTGTTCGGCGCGCTGCCCTCACTGTCCGCCCTGCGGCGCCTGGAAGTGGAAGTGTATGAGGCGATGGACGAGTTGCTGCAGGGCATCACACCCACCTCAGCCCCGCTCCTGCAGAGCCTCTTGCTGGCACAATCGGGCGAACGACGTCTGCCGTGCGTACACGCCTGGCTGCACGACGGCGGCGGCGCCGTCGAGACGGTCCTGTCTGTAAACCCCGCGCTACAAGTGTTCGTACGCAGGTCACCCACGCACTGTCGCAAAAAGAAACAAAAGAGACGGTGCAAAGTGTGTTCTCTGGACTGTCAACGTAAAGGTCTGTGGTATGGAGTTAGCGAAATGAGAAAATATTCATTTCATGAACGTTGGTGGGTGCTGCTTCCACGAAACGAATTCTGCAACTAACTTTTTAAAGAGCGTTGTTCCAGTATATTTTTAGTTTATTTTATGTTCTTCATTGCTACTCGGTATTGGAATCCTACCCAACAACTATACTCATCCAAAAAATTGTGCGACATACGTGCACAGGGCTGTCGACACATTCAATGTTGGACAGCGATATACTATTATTATTATTAATAACTGGATGTCCCTTTTAAACCGTGAATTGTTTACAAGTGGCCAGTTTTGTTTGAGTGCTATTTTCTACACAATAATTTGCTTCATGTACATAATATCTATCCTTAATCATTTTTCGGTTGCTATTTTCTGCTTACTAGTGAAATATATTTAGTATCCTCATACATACACCACCTCTCTAACACCTACTTGAAATTATTATCGTTCCAACTTTAATATCAAATAGCTCAACTGAGGTCGTGAACAGTGCGGAACCACGCAAGGTGGTGGAGACGCGACGCTTCTGGCCGGGGAGAGCGTCCGGGGTGCGGGCACAAGGGGGAGGGGCGGGGTCGGCGGGGTAAGGGCAGGGCCGGTTTACCTCCTGGTCACAACACACTGGAAAAACAAAGCTTTTTTCCTTCAGCACTGTGTTTCGCGTAGAGGCGGTGTCGGGAGTCTACAGTGCGGCAGCTGTCTCGGCCACCGCCATAATGCATCTCATAATATCATCGTTGCGCCGGCGCCGGCAAGGCCTGCACTGTAAATAAAAGTCAGAATTTTCCAACAAAATTCTGTCCGAATAGTTTGCAAACGCGATTTTCGAAAGAGTTATCGCGATTTTCCAAATAGTTGTTGGAAAACAAAATTTCCAGTCCAGTTCTTGGAAATTTCCGAACAATTTGGGACAGAAAAAACGAACCATTTTTCACTGGAACCAAGTTTAGTAGCATCAAAAATGACA